CTTTCTTTTGTTTTGGAAAAACCTTTAACTTTATTTCTTCTGTAATTTCCGCAAGTGAATTATGAGTATGCTTACGAATGTGAATTCTCTACTCTCATGTTAACGGAACCATGGTTTTATTTCAAAATATTTATTTACTCTAAGAATATGTTAGTCACTTAGCCTCAATGAACTTAAGAGGGGGGTGAATTAAGTTAACTAAATTTCGTCTTATAAAAACTTTTCCAATTACTTTCTTATCAAATTTAATTCCTTAGATAAATTTATATGTAAAGAATGAATGATGATGCAAACTACACAATTACAATTAATAACAAGAAATTAAAAGTGTAGGAAAAGAAGAATTGCAAACTTGATTTTATACTGGTTCGGCCAATCCTGCCTACATCCAGTCCTCAAGTCTCCCACTTGAGATTTCCACTACTCTTGTAAACCTTACAAGAATTGAATCCTCCAACACCCAAGAAATTAAAAGTGTAGGGAAAGAAGAATTGCAAACTTAATTTTATACTGGTTCGGCCAATCCTGCCTACATCCAGTCCTCAAGTCTCCCACTTGAGATTTCCACTACTCTTGTAAACCTTACAAGAATTGAATCCTCCAACACCTCGGAACTCCCTTTCCTTGTGTTGAGATTCAAACACCAACAAGGAGAAAAACCCTTTCTCCTTTACAGATCCAATGATCAATTGAGTTTTACAGAATGACTCTCTTTGAAGAGTAAATATTACACTTTCATGATCTTGATGAACTCTTTAGAGATTTTGCAAATGACTTTGGCCAAGTAGTTTTTGTAAATGATTTTCACAATAGAGTTCGTCACCTTTCTCTGAAAAATTATAGGTATTTATAGACAATTGTTTCTTAGGTTATGTCTTTTCATGAAGAGTTGTAACTTTCTATAATTTTTCAGAAAATAGGCTCTGGTAATCGATTACAAGACTTGGTAATCGATTACGACAGTTTAAGTTTAAAATGTTTGAAACGTTGTATAATTTAAATTCAAATTTTGAAATTTTATCTTCTGGTAATCGATTACAATGACTGGTAATCGATTACCAGAGACCTTTTAACATTTCAATTTTGAACAGAGAAGTTTTCATCCTCTGGTAATCGATTACATGCCCTGGTAATCGATTACCAGACTGATAATACCAAAATTAGCTTTATGAAAACTTAAGATATAGAAAGTTTTTATTTTCCAGTTAAAAATATTTTTGTTTAATCTTTTGAATACTCTTTTTGCTTTCTTTTCAAACAACTTATTCTTATATTCAAAAAGATTAAGTTTAGGTTTTCTTGAAATCCTTATTTTAATGGCCGGCCAAGTGAAATTTGCAAATTCTAAAAGTTCATTTTACATACTAAGCTAAGCAGTCAAGACTTATCTAGTTATTACTTGAGATCTTGCTTCTTGATCAGCTTGCTTTAACTTGACCTTTATTTTCTTCAATGTTTTGGCATCATCAAAACATTGTGCATATTTTCTTCCACAGAATATATTTTCATAATTATTGTATATGTATGTTGGGGTAGAGGGTGTCACAATATCTCCGTTAATCAATAAAAATATTTTTGTTAATTAATAACAATATCTTCATGCAATCATCATAATATATCTTCATATATATATATATATATATATATATTGGACAACATGTATCATTCAATCCTAACCTTATTCTTAACCTAAACTTTCCTCTAAGTTAGAATTCTTTTGCAAATGTTCCTACCACCATAGATATCATAGTAGTAAGGTCGTAATCTCGCCACCAAATCATTTGAAAAATCTAATAAGAATAGTAGTTATATATGTAAGGAATGAAAGTATAATTTATTTGATAGTTTAACATATGAAGAATAGATAGTGTAATAATTGTATCTCTCAAAAGAAGGAAGTGTAATTTACATTAATCACGTTTAGTTAAATAAACTTAATTTTATATTTTAACATAAAAGGAGAAAATAGTGTAATACTCATTCATATGAAAATGTATGAAAATTTACTCAAATTTTTACATATTGTAGACATCTAAATAAAGTAGAAGGCAAAAGGATCCGATGGTTATGGTTTAATTGGATACGCATTGAATTTTTGCGAAGAGACCTGGAATTGATCCTCCCAAAATACATTCTTGGAGGAAAACAAAGAACTTTAAAAATGTGTAAATTTTAAATCGAGATTTTTTCATCTTCAAATGATTAAAGCTTGTGAGAAATACCTCGTGATTCCCTTACATAACTAAAGAATTTAATTACGGTGGACAAAAAGTAAAGCTAAAAACAAAAAATAATACTGTTGAAAATTAGTATTATTATTAGAATGTAAATGTTTTTAATTTTTTTAATTTAGAGTAAATTTGATTTGCTTCTCAAATTTAAAATTACCGTTTTTAGTCGCGATGTACAAAAAGTAAAGCTAAAAACAAAAAATAACACTGTTGAAAATTAGCATTACTATTAAAATTTAAATATATTTTTAATCTTTTAAATTTAGAGTAAATTTGTTTTTGTTTCTTAAAATTTAAAATTATTACTTTTAGTCCTATAATTTTTTAAAGTTTTTCTTTAGTCCTTTATATCACTTATAATATATTTGAAAGTAATAAATTGAAACAATTATATATCATTAATTAGATTTAATGTGATATTTTCACAAATAATAGAATTTATGCAATAGTACTTGATAAATTTTCTAATAAAATTTGAGCATAAAAATTAAAATGAGATTTTTAAAATTATAAAAATTAAAATGATCAATTTAAAATTTGAGACACTAAAATAAATTTATCTTAAATTTTAAAAATTTAAAATATATTTAAATATATCGATTTTCATAAAACTTTTTCCGAAAAATTACTTTACCAGGTGTGGTAACAAATCAATTTTAAGAAAGATGCAAGTGTGAGGTACAATAATTGATGAGGTTGAAAAGTAGTTTCCCATAATAAATAAATGCCAAGGTGGGAAGCTGAAAATTAGCTTCTTTATCATGTTAGAACTGAATTGGACAAGGAACCAATGAGACTTGTGATTTATGTTTAACTACTCCATTGTTTGTTTGGTCGAAATGGATGTCGTTAAAAATAACCCACATACCCACATATTATAACCAAAGAATATATATATATATATATATATATATATATATATATATATATAAATAAAAAATATGAGAAAAATAAATATTTTAGTTTT